GGGCGACTGATGCAGGAGGATCCGAATCAAGTGATGCTGATTTGTCAGATAGTACGATGATGGCGCTGAGATATCATGAGATGGCGGATCGGCGCAAAGATGGAAAGTGAATCACCATTATTTCCATAATTGGGGGAATTTGACGCGTCTTTGGTAATTTGGCCATAACTTTGGCTACGGTTATCGGAATCGCTATTATGACCCCAATTCGGAAAGCTCTCTTCAGCGCGCACATCGTGGCCACCGAGCTATGCTGGTGGATGTCAATTTCGAGCCCAAAATCCACTGTTTTCTTTCCAAAATTCAATTTTAAGTTATTTTTTACTATTTATGGTAATATTTCGTTTCCTTTTTTCCATATGTTAGAAAACTCGAATTGAGCCAAATTTTTGGCAACTTACTTCTTTTACTTAATATTTTATTTTGGTATAATTTTTGGGATTTTGCCATTTTTGGTAATTTTCCCATAATTTCGTATTTCGCAGCTATTTAACCCGGCTTGTGGGTTAGTTTTCATCATTCTGCGTTATTAATAATATTGAGTTGAATTCAGAGTATTTTCTCTGGTTTTTGGGCGTTTTCTGTCGTTCTTTTCTTGCGAATCATCTGCTACAACAAGCCAATAGGATAATCATTATCCTACCCGGCGTCAATTACCAACAAAAGAAATTGCAGCAAGCTTGACCATAAGTTCATATCAATAATTCTTATTTAAAATGATGAATTCCATGATCTTTGTGTGGCTAAATCATCTTGTTATTGTATGTCCTGATTTTTCATATTTTAGCACTCAAATGGTCTCAATTCTGATCACAATGGAAGGGGATTATTATCCACAATCCAAGTGCATAATTTTATGGTTCTTGGCATTTTTCAATTTTTGTGGTAGTTTTCATACGAATTTTACCATATTTTTGCCATTTATCTTCTCTCTTTGTCCTGGACAATTATTAGAGGTCATGTGGATGAGTTAAGGGAGGTTATGAAGAGTTGTACATTTGAATTTAAAGTTCAAACCAGTTTTTCCAACACTTTTAATATCTTATGGGTAGGGATTATCCCATATGAGTGACTCACGACCCGTATTTTCCAACATCATACATCAAAACAAAAAAGCATACTCATCATCATTGATCCCTTGAGACTATTGCCATGTAACACGCTCATGGATTTAGTCCTCGATGAGGACAAGACCGTAATGTCAAGATCAGGCCTAAATGGTCCCCTCCAAGAATAAATGGTTGAATGTCTAATCGGATACAACAAAGATAAACTGGCTAAATGTGATCCCATGATGAAAAGATTCTTTGTAATAGAATGGAGAGAGTTTATAAAGAAGGAGATCAATCACTTGATTAAAGCCAAATCCATCCTAGATGTACACTACCTAGACTGGCTCATCAATATTGTACTTTGTGAAAAAGGCAAATTACAAGTTGTGGGTTTGTGTTGACTATATCGACCTCAACATTGCATTTCCTAAATACAACTGCCTAAGCGGGACCAATCACCTTGTGGACTCAAACTCGAGGCTTCAGATATACATCTTACTTGACACCTTCTTGGGCCATCACTAGATATGGATGGATGAAGGGGACAAGAAAAGTATTTTATATGTGACCAACTTAGGGATATACTATTACGAGGTCATTACTTCAGTTTAAGGAAACCAAGTGCAACATGTTATAGTCTGGTCAATAAAGTTTTTGCATATCTCATTGGTAAAAGCATTAAGGTGTCGATGACATATTCATTAAGAGATTGAGCCCAACTATAGGTGTCGATGACATGTTCATTAAGAGATTGAGCCCAACTGTTATACCTCACTCATTTACAATTAAAGTCAAGTGGCTATTTAGTCAAAGTCAATTAAGGACTTAAGGTGAATAAATAATTTTTCATGGGAAGCACTTAAATTGTAATTACAAATACCCGAGGGCTAAAAATGATATAATAAAGGAATCTAGGGACTTATTTTCTCTTATTGAAAATTCAAAGACTAAATGTTATGTTATATAAAGATTGGTTACTTGACTTGCAATTACTCATAGCCATCCATTAAATTTAAACATATGAGTCCATTTACGCCTTGTTTAAGCCCCATTTTTTGGGGAAAAAATATTTTTAAACATTGTTTTGACATCATTTAGATCACAATTTTTTCAATAAAATAATAATACATGCAAATCAAAACTTTTCTTTATTTTTTAACCACACATTTCACATTATTACACTATTCAAAAAAGAATTTTTTGACAAAAATGGGGCTCAAACAAGGGCTATGCCTATCATTTTAGGGAAAAAGAAAAATAGAAAGCATAAACAGAACGAACAGGGAGAAAAAGGAAGGGGAAAAAAAGAAAAGAAAAATAAAAATTAAAAGAAGAAGGAGAAGATGAAAGAGTGTGGACTTTTTAAGCCTGGGGTTTTCATTCCTCAATTTTTCTTATTTTCAAGAGGTAACTAAAATTTATGTTACTTGAATTTTTAGAGTTTATGGAAAATTTGCTTTAATTCAAAAGTTTAGCAAGAATTAGGTTTTATTGATATATATTTGAGGTTGTAATTAAGAATATAGCAATGAAATGTGTATTTGAAAATTAGTGTTTAAGAAAATGGAATTTTGAATGGTTTTGCCAGAAAAGATGTATTCTTTGATTTTCTTGTGATTATGTGATGTTAAACACTTAAATTTAGGATTTGAGTTTTGATTTCTCTACTTTTAAGTTGTTTCGAGCAATTGTAGTACACAGGTACTTTTTTTTTTTTTTTCCAATCCAAAAGAGTGCTATTTTTGAATTCATAGTATAGTTGTTTTTATTTTTATTCAAACTGAATTTATCTAACAGATTGTCGTCCTAAAAATAATTTATTCATTATTATTTTCTTCGATACTAATAAGTGCATTCTATCCATTTATTTGGACCATATTACTTTGTTTATTTTAGTGATGAACTTGTTTCTAAGCAATTGGAAAAGAAAAAGGAAAAATCCAAAGTATGAGGGCTAAATTGCAACATTTTAATAGTTGATTCAGACCACAAAATGAGGATTGAAGATGCTGTGGGTTCAATTGAATGCAATTAAAAGTCAAAGGGTTGAAATTGTAAAAGAAAGGATTTGAAAGTACAAAAATTGATTTCGAGGACTAAAATGCAACATTCGAAAGTTTTTATAAACTGGGCAACAGTCCAACATCAAGGAACACTTACTGGGCGACTGCCCAGGCCAATCGTGGCAAAAAAAATCTAGTTTCCTTATCTAACTGAAATTTTTATCGAAACAAATCTTGGAAGGTATTTTACAACCCTAGAGCTGTCCCTAAACTGACACCATGCATTCTAACATATTCCCAAGGGTTTTGAGAGCATAGAACAAGGAAGAAACACGAAGATGTGAAGATTCAAATCAACAATTAATTGGATGGTGCCGCTTCTTCAAAATTCGTTTTGTTTTCTTACTTCCACCATGCTAGGCTAGATTTTTATTTGTTAGGAGATCGATGGACATTGTGATATAACTATTTAATTTCTAGTTTTGCAATTTTGACATCAAAACATGTTATGAATTGTTGAATGATTTATATACAATTAATGTCTTCCATGATTATGTGCACGTAATTATGTGAGTGTAGTAACTTATTTCATGCATTCGAGATAATTCGACAGGGTATAAATCATTATAGGGTCTGACAGGGGAAAGAGATATACCTCTATGCCTTGTGTGAATCTTTAAGTGTTCACAAAACCACATCTATTCTTGTATAGTTGCACCCGTTATAGAGATATAGGCTAGTGGTATATGAAAATATGTTCAACATTACTCGATAGAGATTGTAGAATAGATTTAGGAGCATTAATTTTTCAAAACTTCAACGCGTTGTCAAATTGTGGAACTAGGGTTAAAAAGCAAGGATTGCTTTGGATTTGTGATTCTAGTGCACTTTCCATTCATTAGTTACATCAATCTTGTATTTAAAACACAATTTTGCTTTTTAGTTCATTAAATTCACATCCAATTGCATATTTAATCTAGGTTAGGGCTTATCAAGTCACATTTATCTTGTTGGATAAAGTTAGGCTACTCAATCTGTGGACGACATTTGGACTCAATTTTCCACTTATTACTTGTTGCAAGTAGTACACTTGCGGAAACAAATCGAAAGAAATATTTCGTGAATAGATACCCACGTGTTCGGGACTATAAAAGCACTCTAAGCTTGGGGTGAAACTATGTCGCACAAATCAATTCTTGGGTACACGCTAGAGATGGATCATTATATAACATGGGAAGGATTTCTATTAATCCTTAACTTATTTTTGTTCGTACATTCAGACAATGTATCTATCAGTTTGGGGGTTAGTTGACTTGCGAGTTAGCTTCTTGTTATTCTTGTATGCCTTTATTGCTTTTAAATATTCAAGTAAATTGAAAACTTTCCAAAAATTTGGAAAAAAATAAACATTAAGTAAAAGTTCAAAGATACATTTGTGTATTCCTTGATTGGATAGCACCGATGTAAATCTCAAGATAATTTCATCTTATTGATTGACACGTGTTCATTGCTGACTTCAAGTGTTTTATTTCTGCTGAAAATCATCTATAGTAATTATCGTTAATTTCTCGACAAGCTTCTACCAAGTTAAACATTTGTTCAACAAAAGTATATAGGTAATTAAACAAGCTTCTTCCATATTAAACATTTGTTCAACAATATTATATAGGCAACTAAACAAGAATAAAAAAGTAATCGAATGAGGTAGTAAATTGAAAGCCTGATGGGGGTAGAACTCTTCAACTCAACTTGGCAACTATGGGTTTCCTTAAGTGTAACTTCAACGTCGGTTTTTAAAAATAATTGTCTTTGTACTGTTGATTTTTTAATTAAGAAAATATTTGTCCATTAGACAACGAAATTTGTCTTTTGCAACGAATACGCAACAATTTGTACAGCCCTTTTTTTTTTTTTTCCAATACTAACTACTGCTTCAATGAAATTGTCTTTTAACAATTTTCTTATAGAATCGTTTGCTAAAAATTTATATCAAACAAGCACTATATTACCCATTCAATATTTTTTTTCCACCCATGCCTTGATCAATACACTAAATTCCAATATCGAAAAAGGCATTAGCCAACATTTTAGTCAGGTGGACTTGGGCTGAAGTAGTAAGATGAAGTGTATCATTTTTCTTCACCTCCAGTCCCTTGGCATCAACACATATTACATTTGGAAGTTTTATCTCTAGTGGGGCCTTTCTTACAACCTCGTAATTTGAAGCCAACGCCACCTGCAACCAATTACCATATAATTTTATGATTTATTCGATATAAAATATTGCTTGTGCTGACAAGATACAATTATTTGACATATATATGAGAATCATTGGAAAATGAAAACAAATACTTTGTCATTTTAACAAAACTTCAAAAAGTTGTACCAAAATGCCCCCGAAACCATTAAGCATAAATACAATAAAACCAATTAGCAACTAATTTCAGCATACTTTCAGATGAAAACTCATTGATGACGAACTGAAAACCCCATTTTTAAGGGAAAAACGATCTGAGATCTAAAATTACCAGAACGTTGTCAGAAACGAAAGTGAAAAACCAGACCAACAGCAAATGTTGATCAATGGAATTAAAATGCAGAGTGCAAATAGAATGAGCAATCGAAAAGATCCTGAAAAAATCAATTTGATCCAAAATTAAAACCCCATTTGATTGATTAAGAAAATGACGAAGACGAAAAATCAAATCAGATCTAAAGAATATCAGTTCACCTCACGAAAAATTTGCAAAGTAGCCATACCTGAATAATTGGGAGCACAGGGGAAGCTAAATCTCGCCGGATGTCAAGGAAAAATTCTATCAACGTCTTATACATTTCTGTTTCATCTGTAGAATCACTTTCACCTTGATACCACAGAATTGGTCAAATTTTTCTTCCATCTCGTAGTGCTGCATTAGCTCTCTTCAAGAGCCGATTATAAAGATCAGAGCCTCGTTTCCACTCGGTTATATTGGTTCCACCCGAAGCACAGGGGACCAAACCGATCACCCCAAGGCAAAGATCTCTTTCCAGCACTGAATTTGCAAATGACATTCCCGGTCCCATCCCACCAGTTTTAGTTGTGTCCATGCCTCTATGTAGAGGTTCATGTGCTTCCTCCCACATCAGCTCTGTGTTAAGTCTAAGAATCGGGCATTCATGAGGGACACAACCATCCAAAGTCCCGTTTGTCACACCACCTTAGCCAGCCATGTTGCTCTGGCCGACGAGTATGAAGATACTCTTTTCTTCAGTTGCACGTACTAGAAATTCAAAAGTATGGAACTGAAAGGCAACCAAGAACATGAAAATCATTGAAGGAAACATCTCTTTTAACTTTTTTCTCTAACGAACTGAAAATTTGATTTTGTTTTCTGTCCTTCTTGGCTGCCTTTCAGTTCCAAACTTCTGAATTTCTTGTATGTGCAACTAATGAAAAGAGTATCTTCATACTCGCCGGCCAGAGCAACATGGTTGGCCGAGGTGGTGTGACAAATGGAACTACGTGTATATATACTCACACAAACATATGGGGGAGGGGGTTTGGTAGATTCTTATGACAATGACTAATAAATGTCAATAAAGAACGTTGGATGATAAAATTAGAATGAGGAGAAAGTTAATGCTAATATAACAATAAACAATGAGAGGAAGTCATAGGATGTACCTCAAACCGTAGCAATTAGATACAAGATCATTTTTACAAGGTAAAAAGTATAAAATTGAGGTGATTCTCCGAGGCATTGAACACTTATTAATGGTTTGCTATTGAACACTTATTCATGTAACAATGAGTATATTTTTGACAAGTCGTCTCCCCATATATTTGTATAAAAAAAATTATCACATTCATGCACTTTATTATAAAGTATTTGTTATATGAAGTAAACCATGATCATATCATTGTTGCTTTCCATTTTCACACATGTAGATACATGAATTAATTAAACTACTTCATATATATTCACGTGCTCTCATCATTCAATTGTTAATGCATAAATATAAAAATTCTTGTTATTACTCTACGTGTATGAAGTCAATAATGTGTTAGGAGAACATCATTTGGTCACATGATCTTTGTACTCAAAATATATTACTAGAGAGAAATATATATTGTTGGGTTTTTTTATACCCAATAAATTCCGAGTTATGATATTAACGTGGGATAATATATTTCATAGGCCGAGGCCGATAAATGAAATAAGTCCAACAATCAAGTCCATAGACTCTACCCAACCCAATTGTATTTCCTCTTAGATGATTTAAATCTTGGCCAGTCTAGCTTTCTTATAGGTCCAACTTAAAGCCTAATCCTATTCTATTTATAAGGTTAGAACCCTAGCCACTTTCTTGTATGATTTGTGTGTGTGAAGAAGAGAACTTGGCTGCCCCTTTTGAAGAGAGAAACCGGCCTCCTTTGTGTGTCCAAAAACTGGTTGATTTAAACTTTGTGTTTTGTGGTCTCTTCATAGCCTACCTTTGTGGTGTTTTCTTTTTGCCTTGTGGCCTCAAATTATCACCGTTTTCTTTTGTTTTGTGAGTAAGATTGAATAGCAATCGAGGTAAATATATTGGTTGTTGATTGGAGCCAGTGGGTTTGGTTGTTTGGTAGAGAAAGATATGTTGAACTAAGTCCCAAAAACACTAATCTGAAGATTGTTAAAGCGAGCTTCCGCAACATATATGAATATATATGGAGAAAAATAGCAAAAAATTTACATAATTAATTTAAAAATTGAAGAAATGATGGACTAATGCTATATACGAACTTGTAACAAATATATGCTCTCTCTAGTACCCTACCCCTCCAATATGCCAATACATATGATTTACCACACCCTCAATATTTTATCATTTGAACAAATGACAAAGACAAGAAGAAAATAAGCTCAATGACAAAGACTATTTTTTCTGGTGTATACACAAAAGAGAACAAAACATGACAAGTTATAATTAAAGTGTGATCAATTTTTAACAGTTCAATTTAACTTAAATTTGCACGTGAAGGAATAGCCCCAATCCACTCCACCATAAAATCCCTTTTTCTATTCCATTTTAGTTATCCTAGTCCTAGGTTTCTATTTTGACGACACGTTAGTAACACAAAATCTGAATGAATCTTGTTCAAGCTACCAAGGTACATTAGATTTCTAGGACAGTGTCTTGTGGTGGATCATCAATATTATAAAGGAAATATTAACATCCTTACATAATTTTGTCTAGTGTTATCTAATTATATTAATCCATCCCGATTATTGTGATTGTTAGTTAGTTTAATTAATCTTTTGATGAACTTAATTAAATTGAATGACACGGAGAATTATAATCGACTCTAAATTTTTAGTTTTTGGCATAATTTTCAATTCTCGTAATTCTTAAGTCATTATAAACACCACAATATTGGCATAGATTCCACCTCCAGTAGTGATCACAGGATGTCAACCTTACTAGAGACGCATGGTAATCAAACAAACAAATGTCCAATAATTTATTGCTACATACTCCACGACGTCATTTTCTTGAAAGACGTAGGATTTTTACCTCTCAACCTCCCTATAGTGCAACCAACTAATTGATTTGAATAAATCACCTACTTGAATCAAATTATAAGACAAGAGCACAATGCAAATCCATTTTCAAATCAAGTATTGTGAAAACATTTCCAGTTCGTTATAATTAAGAAGAAGAAGAAGAAGAAGAAGAAGAAGAAGAAGAAGAAGAAGAAGAAGAAGAATAATAATAAAATGAAATGCTAATTCTTGAGACTTTATAATCAATCAGCAGCGTTAACTAAAAAGGGTGATGCTATACGTACCGTGGGTCCCCCTCCATATGAAGAGGTGAATAACGTTATAGGCATCGCATTATGTACAAATAGCATACATATTCCGTTTAAAAATAATTATTTACACATAAAATAGAACATCATAATATTTTTGAGCTAATCGCGGGATGGGGAGTTACTTTTCTCGAAATAGGGTGAGTTATTTACCTTATGTGTAGCATTTATGACTTTCCAACTGGATTTCTTGAAATGTATACGAGTTATTAAAAGCATTAATAGTAAAGTGTACCTCTTCATACAAAACACATCAACAGCTTGGTTTAGAGGCATGTAGCTTGAAGATATATGGCTACCTTCCCAATACAAGTTCAATTAATTAAACTTGTTTCCCTCAAAAAGCATTTATTGTTCTTCAACGCAGTTTAAAGGCACGTAGGTGAAGACATTTATTGTTTCCCTAAATTAAACTTGTTTCCCTCAAAAAGTATTTATTTGTTTCCCCAAATGTTTGGTTCCTAAATCACTGAAATAAAATAATTAACCACAATCTAACGTGCTACACTTGCTGTTAGGTTAGAATTCAGTAAGAGAGAGAAAGATAGATATCACATGAAATTGGAAATTGCTCGAAATTCAATTGGGAAGCTACTCTCTGACACTAAGTTTTCCTCTCAAAACATATATAGTGCAACTTACAAATTGCCTTGAATTTAAGCTCAAATCATCTCCATGGACAAGTTTAAATTTCTAACCCATGTCGACGGTTAATGTTAATGAATATAATCTCACATCGAATAAAAACGAAAATATAGACCAACTTATCGGAGCTCATTAAACTCCAACAAGTAACTTGATTCGATTAAGACTCGATAAATGAGCATATGAATTTTAAGATTGGTATGCTCAAACGAGCCACCATCTTGCGGAGGCATGTTAAGGGATATAATCCTACATCGAATAATGATGAAAATATAGACCAACTTATAAAATTTTGAGCTACTCCCCTTAACAAGATTAACATTTTAAGATGGAACCTCAAACCTTAATAGTTAAAGAGAAAGCAAATATTGATTTATTGAAGTTTGAATTGGGTCTGTAAATTTCAACATCTATAAATTTTAACATCTAAAATATGAACTAAATAAATATCCTGTCCCCAAATTAGAAAAATAAGAAAAAAAAAATCTTTGGCCTTGCAATTTTATAATACACAAAATCCCATAAAGAAACATTCAATACATCTGAGTCACAAGAATTCAATATTAAGAAAGCAATTGGATTCCGTTTGATGTTTACGTTTTTTTTCTTTTTTCCTTTATCATCTTGCAGCTTTTGCATTAATATATTTTAAACGACAAATTTATATGGGTAAAAGTAAAAGTGAAACTAAAATAAACGAATAAATCTTCAACGTCAAAAAATAATAGAAACTAAGCAAAAAAGTTCATGCTTTCATCAGTAAACTTACCGTCTATTTTTATTATTTTTATTTTTTTCTATTTTTAGGTTAAAGAAATAGTTCAAAATACTCAAATATTTCAATTCTCATAATAATAATTTTTCATAAATATGTCAAATTTAATACAACAATTCGAAGTGGGCCATGTGATGCTAAGATTTAAAGGAGAGAATAAATAGAGGTAAAAATTTGTTGTAATTTATTTTCCTAGTAAAACTATTATATTTATTCTTTCTACTTTGTAGAAGTCTCAATCTATTAATGTAGTAGGTGTACTTTTCCATTTTAAACATTGCAGATATTTTTTAACCAAAATTAATTGTTTAATTAAGACTTTAGTTAAGTTACTATTTCTGACACTTTAAGGTAAAATTACTCTTTATTTTTGTGACATCATCTTTAGATTGGTGAGTCCATTTAAAAAAAATATAAAGATTAATTTAAACATCAGTTACAAAATTAATAAGAACCCTATAAAACCATAATCTTTTCATAAATCATTCAACGGTGGACTATGCACATGGGAAGAAAATGGATCAATCAAGAGTTACAGATAGGGTTAGGTTAAGTAAATAGATTATAGGTGAAGGTATTATAAAACTTTAATATTCGTTGTACTTTAATGCTTGATGGATAGAAATGATCGATTAAATAAAAATATTGTCATGATCAATAACTTTTACTAATGAGGTTTCCATACATGTCTCCAAGCTATAGCTAAAAATCAATCAATCAATTGAGGTATTTCGATAAAAAAAAGGTATCTATGAATGATTTTACTAACCCGTAAGCATATCAAGAAATCCAACGGAAAAGTCACACCATCACACCTTGTATTATTATAAAACTTAATTATTTTTATTTGTATTTTCTATAATTATAATAACAATTAAAATGGCTTCAGATTACTTGACTCACAAAATGGATTCAATTAGTATTTTTTTTTCTTTTTAGTTTGATTCAAGTGGAAGATATAACCGAAACAATTAATTTATTGCATTTTAAGGAGTTTAATTAAAATACAATGACATGGATATGATATTAGATAATCCCAAGAAAACAAAACATAGATACATAATGTTAATGATTAATTACAACAAATGTAGATTTAATTAATTAAAGCTATAACTACAAAGAAAGAAAGAAAGGATATTGAGATAGAGTACTAAAACTGTTGAAAGCATGATTAACAACTTCCAGTCTATTTAGTCTTTTT